AGTTTATGAGGTGTATGTGGTTACTAGGCATTCACGCGTTTAGTTGAATTGCATTTTTATACTTTCAAAAATTTTTGTTTTTTCATTTTCACTTGCTGTGAAGAAAATATTTTTTTATCTTTATTCTTCAATAATTTCTTCCATAAAAATACAACACTGGCATTGAATTTTTGCAAATTAGTTTCATTTTAAAATTTACCAGTTTTTGCTTAAAATTTATTTTAATAAACTCAGCGCTAGAAGTTATCCGTTATTAAATCATCAAATTCTGTTCTTGATTTTTGAATAATTAGAATAAATTTTGCTTGGCAACTACTATGAACGCACGCACGCACACGCATACCAACACAATGAAGCACATCCATCTGCCTGCTATTTCAGGCTGAGTGGCCAAAATATGTTTTAGGGGTAACTACTATTTATTAAGTTCGGGGGTAGATCTTTCTTGAATATTTTTATATTTTGCGTATTTGTTTCATATTTGAGTTAAAGTTTCTAAGAGTTGCAGGTTTAGGCAATCATTTAATCAAAGATTTGGGAGTGATTTTGCTTTTTATCATTTGATCGAGCTTTAGAGGAAGATGCAATAGAGTACAGATATTCACTAAAGCTAGTTTTCATAGAAAATCGTTAACTCACAAAATGTGAAAGTTACTTAAGTTACAGTAAAAGGGGTAGTTAATTTTTTCGTTCTTTTCATCAGTCCTATTAGAGAGCTTATTTAGTGAATACCCTCACCGTTTACTTAGGGGGCGATGGCGCATAGGTTCAAAAAAGAAAATGAAAACTGAAGAAAATAAAACAAAATGAAAGAACTAAATTATATTTTTTTTTTATTTTTGCAAATTATTTAACTTAAATAAACTAAAAATTTAAATTCCATTTAAATTTAAAGCATTTTAATTAAAACTAAGAGCAACTCAATTCTTTTGCACTGATTACTTTCTAATTAAATAATTTACAAAACGAGAAACTCGAGCACTTATTTTAATATCACAACACTTAAATTATGAAATATTTAGTTGCTTATTTTAAAAAGTGTGTGTTTACGCATACCTGCTAAAAAAACAAAAACAAATGTATGGATAGTCGTAGTGTTAAAAATGCATGAAAATTTACGATTAACATTTATAGCCAAACACATTAAGTCTAAAATTTAAGTAGAATACTTAACTGCAAGTATATATATTCGAATGTGAGAAATATTTGGAATATGCTGAATTATTTCAAGTTAGAATACTTGTTTTGAGAACAGTTATAAAGAATTATTTGTTTAAATACAAACATTTCACATCTTGAATATTGACTTAAGAGATACAGTATGAAACTATATTTATTAAAATTTGAATTAATAAAAGACAATATGCATTAGGATACTTTGAAGAATTTAAAAGCGAACAAAAATGTCAGATTAATAATAAATAATTTATATAAAATGTACTTAAATCAATATTATATACTTTCCGAAATATTTTAAGCGTTAAACTGAGTAAGCGAGTGGGGGTTATATGAAAAATAAAGAACAGAAACAAATTAAGGTATATAAACGAGAGTACAAGCAATTTACAAAACAAAAAAAAACACCATATGGTAGCATATTTTGAATTGCAGACACTGTATACAAATTTCATACTGGGCACAAATTGGAATTAAAAAAACTGTCACAAGTTTTTCTGCAGGACTATAGACAGTTCGGTTCTCGCTTCACGAGTTCTCAAAATCTTACCGTGGAGCATGTGGAAGAATACACAACACGAGAAAGTGGTGTGTGTTCACGCTCTAAAAAGTTCAAAATATTTGCCGTAATGCTTTGCAAATATTATTTATTTAAATGCCAGCATACGGCGGTCGAGTGATGTAGCTAGCGAAATATGCCGGTTACATACAGGCTAAAGCTCGCAAACAAATATTTTTTTAGATGCCGTTATTAAAAAGTTTTTTAACTTCTTTTCCAGCAACAATTTATTCTGCTAATTAAAAAACATTTTGGAAAAATTTTTCTGCACTGATTTCTGCCACTAAACCACTAATAATTATAATCAGCCTCATTGCGTAAGTCGTAAATTAGGCTAAATTGTACGACTCGACAACAGTAGCATTGTCTTTTGTCGTACTGAAATAAGTAAACGACCAAAATCATCGAAAACTATACAGTGCTGCCAAGTTTTTCCGTTTTAAAACAATAGTCTAGTGGAAATTTGAGGCAATGTCGTGAAATTTTCGATACGATTCGAATCTCGAAAAACGACTTGCATTCGACACGACTCTCGCAATAAGGGTGAATATTTTTAAGCCTACAGCATAGGCAGACGGCAGCGTTGATGCGGATCAACTCGTTAATTCGGAATTATCTCGGGAATTAACTGCAGTTGATCCGGATTAAGTCCTAGAGTTAATTCCCAAACTTAACTCGGTTCGAGGGAATATTCGATGGCAACACTGACATATAGCTTTTCGTTGGTAATGCAGTCACCATACTAATTCAGATAAGAATCGAATTAAAATTGAATAAGAACTTATTTGAATTAATAAGGTGGCTCCATTACCGACGACAAGGTGGATGTCCATGATAGTTTTGAATTTTCTTCGTATTTTACGGTCTCTGAGCAAACAAAAAGCAGCCAGCTACTTCATCCGCGGTAGCCGAGTGATGATAGTTGCGTACTACAAGCATGCTGGTCCCATGTACGATCCTCGGTTGGAGCGATTTCCAAACATAACATATGTTGTAACACTCAGAACAGCAAAGATTTTTTTATGAGAACATTTTTCAAGGTGAGAAGCACACTCAGAGCTTTGCCATTGCATGCCGAAGGTGACCGCAATTACAAAGAACTTGTTTTGATTTTGCTCTGTCCAGGGATCGATGTTTGGTCCTACTGTGTAGAAGTTCACACCTCTAACCACTCTACTGTGTCGACCTAAACGAACCGCTATAAACAGATTTTAAGATGTCTAAAACATTTTTCGCTAGTCCTGTTGCAATATTGCAGGTTTTTCTTGAAGGCTTGTCAAAAATTTGTTTATGCAACATATTTCGCAATCTTGGCTAAAAATTATTTATACAACAAGTTACGCAACCTTGTACCTTACAATGTGTGTGTGTGTATATAATATATTTCGCAACCTTGCATAAAACCCGATTAAGCAATATGTTTCGCAACCTTGCATAAAATTTTGTATTCAACATGTTTCTCAACTTTGCCTAAAAATGTTTATGTACATACATACATATNAAGGTAGTTCTGCGGGTAAGGGATTACCGCCAATGACATGCCCATGTTAAAATAAGGCCTTCCTGAAGCGAAAGGGTAAGCGATTCCCATCGCCTAGCTCGTTTCCACTTTCGCTTCTGTGGTAATCGTGTTTTTTGCTGGGCTTGTGTAAAAATTGTTTAGAGAACTTGTTTCGCAACCTTGCGTAACAATTTTTTATACAATATGTTTCGCAACTGTGCTTGGAAATTTTTTATACATGCTTCGCAACATTTTTTATTTAACGTGTTTTGCAACTTTGGGTCAAAAATATTTGTACAACATGTTTCGCATCTTTAGGTAAAAAGTGTTTATACAACATGTTTCGCAACAAAATTTTAATCCATATGCTATTTTGTGCTGCGCAATATTTAAAATCAATGTGGCTGTTAAACTGTCTGGATTCTGAATTAAATTAAATTTAATTAAATAATAGCTGCTTCTAGCTTCTTGCAACATTTGTATCTGATGCATGTTTCCATTACTATGTTTCCATCACTATAAATAGCTGGTTGCTCTTAACAGAGAGCCTTTAACAGCCATATACACAACATAACACAATTTAATATGTATAGCATGTGGAACAATGTGTTCAAATTTAAATTTTATGAAATGGTACGCAAGGCTTTTCACGCAACATGTTGCCAGCAACAGTTTACTACAGCATAGACTTCCTATGAAATTTGAATGAACCATCTCTAAGCAATTAATAGTATACGACGGCGATATGTTGCAATACATGCTTTTTCAACGCTTCATATAAAAAAAGAATGGTGAGGTGTCGGAAAAAAACAATTTTTTAAGGAAAAAAAAAGAAAACCTAGTAATCTCCATAGTCGAATACTGCCAGGTTATTCTTAAGTGCCAAATAATATTTAGTTACAAAAAGCAAGCGCTAGAAGCCTTTAATTTCTTCTAAAATACATTTACATATAGAGGCCAATACGCTGTAGAAAAACGCGATAGAAATTGTATTGAAAATGAAAATAGTGTTTTTTTTCGCCTATGTTCCATATTGATTTATTTTTGCTTCTTTTATACTGAGTTCGCAGTAGGAAATAAATAGGGCTGTTTTTTAAAGTAATTTTCAGTGTAGTTTTGGATAGGTTTTTGACATTTATTTCCAATTTATTTTCTAAGGCTTAAAACTTGAAAAACTTAAAAAAAATACTTAAAACAAAAAGTACTTAAAATTGCGAAACTAAAACATTTAACTATAATTCACTACGAGCAGTACAGTAACTTTAAGAAAAATTACAGAATAATTTTTATTTACCAATGCTAAAACCAAAAGCTGTCAAAACAAATCAATTCGGATCGCCGCCCGAAGTTCTCAACTTATTGCACCTCGCTCAATTATCTCCATATCTTTCATTTTGCCTCTCTTGCAAATTTTCTTGCGACTCTTTAGCATATTCATGCCACAAGAGCACTGTTTTAAGCGACTCTTTTGAACTCGCTCTTACCACTTTTTCTAGCTACACGTAACTTAATAGTTTACTTTTCTATCAACATCCGCACGTTTAATGCGCATAAATACAAACTATTTAAATACAAAGTAAACTAAACCATACAAAGTTAAATAAACATTCAAAGTAAAGTATGTATTAGTTTGCTCTCTGTTGTTGTTTTTTTTTTACTTCATGTTGCTCTCTTGCGTTCTCTTAAAATTACGCCCAATATATTACCCTAAACATTTTCGTTTTATTTTAACTTTTATGCTTTTAGCCCCCCTTTCTTCGTTCATTCGCCTCTTCATCGTTCATTCGCCCGCCCACTTCGTTTTCTTCCTCTATCTTTATTTTTCTCTCTCTTCCGCCTTCATCCATCGTCCTTGATACGTGTTGTTTGTTTGTAGTTTGTGTGTGTGTGTGTGTGTGTGTATTTTGCTAAGCTTAATCATTCTTTACGATTGACGATTTTCTTCCAGCGCTTGCTTTTTGTCATACGAAATCCAACTCGGAGCGAGTCTTGAACATCTTACGCTCCATTGTGCGTTCGAACCACTTCTTAATCTCCGCCACGATCAACACTGATGACGTGAGTGAGACCAAGAAGAGTATATCGTAGGCGGAAAGCGCTTCCGTTTGGAATACCATTTGTAGTGGCGGAAAATAGATGACCAACATTTGTCCGATAATCGAGAAACCAACAGCAAGCAGGAACATGCGATTCGTGCACAAACCGATCTTGAAGACGCTCTTTGTGGCTGAGCGGCTTGCCAGCGCATTGAACATATCGAAAAAGACAAAACATGTGAATGTCATGGTGGTGTCGCGTTTCGTTTTACCCATCGTGCCATCGGCCATTTCGCGCTGAAATACCCACAGCGTGCCGAGCACAATTATGCTGGCGCTAAGCAACACATTCACGATCACCGATTTCGTAATCATTGGCTGTTTGACATTGCGCGGCTTCTGTTTGAGTACATCGTGATCAACGGGTTCGACGCCAAGCGATTGTGCGGGTGGTCCATCCATAATTATGTTGATCCAGAGTATTTGCATAGCATTCAAGGGATTTGCGATGCCCATGAGAGTAGCGAGCGCGATCAATGAGAGAGCGGCAATCGAGGTACTCAGCTGGAAACGTACGAAGTTGCGAATGTTGTAGAAGATCGCTTTGCCCTCCTCGATAGCAGCGCTGAGTTGGGAAAAGATAAAAGGAAAGAATTAATTACAAGTCGGAGATGTGGTACCTCATAGTGTAATGGGAAGAGTGGATAAAAAAGTATGGGGGCGATCATGCAACGGAGAACTAGGAAAGGAAGTCAAAAATTTAAATTCCAGATAATTAGTTAAACTAGTGACTAATTTTTGCAGATATGATGCATAAATAAATCCCGGGATCTCTCTCTCTTTCTCTCTACAAGTTTCTTACGAGTACATCATACAACTCATAAAAGTCTACTCACATGATGGTGTGAAAATCATCGTTAACTAGTATCATATCAGCAGCCTCCTTGCAAACATCCGTGCCATTTTTACCCATAGCAATGCCGATATCAGCCTTCTTCAATGCCACGCCATCGTTAACACCATCGCCCGTCATGCCGACAATATTTCCAGTGCGTTGTAGTGATTTGACGATCGCAAGCTTATGACGCGGTGTGACACGGTAGAAAACACTCACATTATTGGCGACCTTATCCAGTTGGTGTTCATTCAGTTGGTCCATTTCTTGACCGGAGAGCGTTTGCTGATGAATTGTGTCGATTCCAATTAGATTCGCTGAAAAGAAAAGAAATATTGATCAGATAAACATAGTGAAAAATTACTTTTGAGTTTTTTTCGTGCAAGTGAAGGAATTAAAGGAGGCTATAACGCTATAACTTTCCAAAAACCCTAGGGTCCATTAGTTAGAATCGACGGGAATGACAATTTTTCTACAATTTTATCAAATTATACATCGTCACTAGACATGAATAAATGCGCGCTAGTGCTTTGACTTCGCTGAAGTTTTTATGCGCCTTTTTTCGGGGTCAACATTTTAGCTCGCGCTTTGAGTCGTGTCTAGTGACGATATGCTCCAGATTGTTCTCCAGGGGGCTCAAAAGCTGTAGTTTGTCTCTTAAAGAACCCATTTTACCAATACTTGCAGTGTCCTGTCAGATAAACAGAACCTTCGCACCCCATCCAGCACAGAATAAGAACACACTTAGGCCACTGTGGCCCCATTATGATGCCATACCAATCCAGTTCAGCCAAACATTCAAAGGAATAGTGGAGAAACGGGCGCCGACGACCTCTCGCTAATGCAGGACAATGGCACAGGATGCTCTATGCTTACGATTACCTACACATCGAGGTAGCGACGACAGTAGTCGTTTGACTGCATACGCATCCAACTAAATAGCGTGGGTTCCCATCAGGCAATGGCCGGTGAGAACTCCAGTTACATGCCGGAGCAGTGGTCGCTTCAAGCGGAGTAGATGGCTAGATCTACGCTTATTCAACCTAGGCCAAAAATGCCTTGTCGTTCTGCACATTGATTGCGCAGACCATTTGTTAAAATTATTATCCAGCCAGAGTTCGAATAAAAATAGCGGAATGCTCGAAACTCGAGCAGTACTGATTTCTGACAGTAAGGTGTCTTTCCTACCCAGTACATCCATAATACAGTTACGGTGCATACATATCTATGGCCAGGCACCTTCGTTGATCGTTTGGCATCCTTCGTTGATCGTTTTGTTTACACTGTACAACATTTTTATTATTAAAAATGTATTGCAGGTTCAGATTCCTATATAAAACCCCCAAAAAAATTTGGTTGAAATGTAACTTAAAAAAAAATGAATACTTACTTTGCTAAATCCATAAAACCAACAAACAAATTTTGGTTTTTGATTCAATGGACTTTTCTTGTAGATTTTCGATCGAGGAATTCAAATTCATTGTCAAAAGTTGACTAAGAAATATTTTAGGTGCTAATTTTTTAAATTGCAAAGTAGCAAATAAATTTTAAATTTTTATTTAGACTCTAGAATTTTGTATGCAGTTTGTAGCCCATGAAATTTTTGTATAACAAAATGCAAGTTTTAAGTTGTTAAAATATTGCGTTGATTTTTGGAATTTTTTTTTAAAGCATTTCTTTTGTATGGAAAAAATGCAGCCAGAAAAAAATTATCAAAAATAAGCGCGATTTTTTAGCAACTTAAAACTGGCACCTTGTTTTCTTAGAATTTCTTGGGCTATAGAACTACATACTCAAAAAAAAAAAAAAGTGAAAAATCTGATTAAAAAGATGAAAATTTAGATGCACTTTGCGATTTAAAAAATTAGCATCTATAAGATTTTTTAGTGAACTTTTGGCAGCAAATTTGGTTTCCTTGGGCTACAACAAAAGTCCATAAAACAAAAAACTTAATTTCTTGTTGGAGTTAGCCAGCAAAGTATTCATTTTTTCGAAAGTAAATTTTTCCACGATATTTTTTTGGCGGTTGAATATAATGATTATATAACGAAACAATTTTTCTCTTATAGGCCATTATGTCAGCTTTCGAACCGATATTTTTCCATATTTTTATCTTATTCCTATTAAGAGATTTACGATTTTGTCCATCGACACTCTAAAATCGTACACTCTGTGCCCCATGTACGTGATTATTGGTGCATTTCCATATTGCCTAATATCAGTATTCAATATCTATAAGTCTAATTGTGGATTGAGTTAGGTTGGCCTGGTTTACTTCCTGAACGGGAGGGGTCAAACAGTAAAATTTTTAGCTGCCTCAGTCGGGTGCGGTGTCCTGCTTCGCTTTCTGAAGCTCACGATCACACAGCAACAGCCATTTCTCTTCTCTTTACCTTCTTACTTCCCTTCGCCATCATTTAAGCATTTTCCATTTATAAATATTTCACAAGTTTTCTTTCTCTGCATTCGTTTATTCATTAGCACCTACCTGCAAGAGCATTAACATTTGCCACTTTTGCATTAGCAAGTTTCTTTGAAAAGCGCCGCTCCATCTAAAACTATTTCATTGAGACATTAAAGGCGGCGGACTACATAGTCTTTTTCTTCTTTTTACATTACACTCCCACTCCCACTACGCTTCATGTTTTAAATTTCTGTTTGATTTCTTTTTGTTCACGCTTGAGAAATTTACTCCGACAACTGCATACCTTATCAGTTAATGTTGCTCGTTTCGTTTTTGCTGCTGCGCTTTGTATTATCGCCCGCAGCCAAGACGGGAGTGCAGTGCGTTTATTGTGGGCTTGATTTGCCCGCTCTTGAGCTTGCCACACCGCAAGAAATGTACAACAAATGCGCCACATAGAGTTGTCTGCATTTGTGTGACTGCCTGCGGGTGGTTTGCCACTTGATTACTGCCACACACCATTGCTTTGCAGCTCATTTTGTTGAAAGGGCGTTGTTTTTCATTTGGAATTTACAATTGCCATTTTTGTGCGTTTTTCCTGCTTTCTATGCTTTCTCTGCTTGCTTTGTGCACTACTTCCATTGCCATTTCCGGCGTTTTTCAATATTATCGACAACGTGTCCGCGCACTTTTTACTGTCTGCTGTGAAATCAAAGTCACTGTAATGGTGGCTATCGGAATTTTAATTTTTACGTGTTTTTACGTCTACGGTAGTGGTAGAAGACGTGGAGCAGCAAGTATGACGAGTGCTGTTTGCAACTACATACATACTTACAACGACTTTTCTCGCACTTTAAGTGAAGTGAAATAATTCAGGCTTTTGTCAAATCCTACACGTACAAAGTAGAGTATATTTCCTAAATAGTATTTTTGCAAAATGCATTTCGAGTGCAACGTGAAGTTTCGTAATCAGCTCTGCTTGCGATTTTTCTTTTCTTCTTTTAGTAGATACCAGCACGCTGGCTTAAAATCCTATGCTTGTCAGGTATGATTTAAGCTTCTAGCTCACTAGATACGGTTGTCCGACCCAATACCTTGCCCTTCCTTGCTGCAACTTTCATACTTACACTCGTTCATCATGCTGGGTTGGGTGTCCTGCTGTTTTTCTCCAAACTGTTACAAAACGAAAATGCATGGGTTCATGCCGCACACAAGCAAGCACACTCACATAGACATCAGCTCACATGCACACCCACACATAAGCGCATGCACTTGCTTGCAGCTGGCGCTATTATTACATTGCATTCATACGATCCTTCTTCCTGCTCTACTTGTCCTTTGCTCCGGAAGTGTAATCGCATTTCCTGTTATTGTCTACCATGCTGTCGAGTTGCATTAATTGTCTCTCAATCTTTCTATGCAGTGTTGTGCTCGCTCGTCTGCTTGCTTGCGGCGCAGCAGGTGGTGTTGGTAATACAATAATCTTAAATGTTCGCACATTTTATTGTTGAAACATTCTCTCAAAGGCTAATAAAGCGTTTGTACAGGTGCAGGTTTGTTTTTAAGTTTTCGGGACAGTGGCTTAAATGATATTATTTGTGGATAAACAACGTAAAGAGATGCTGAGTATACCCTATTGAATTTTGTTGCACCGACAAATGTATGGTAACTTATAACTCGGATTCAGCCAAGCTGCTACAGGCTACTGCTCACAGAAAAATGTTTCGCAAAAATTTTTTTTAACTTTTAACCAGTTTAACTTTTAAACTCGTCCAGATTTCTTCACTTCAATTAAAATGTTTGGAAATAGTCAGTCCGACTGCTGATGGATTACAGGCTAATGTTGTTGTTGTTGTAATAGCATAAATTTCCCTAACCAGTTCTTGGGGAAAAACTGATTCCAGATATAGATCTGGGTTGTTCTGGTTAAGTAGACTACGGCTACACGCTGATCTTTCGTTAAGATATAGGACAGCTGAAAGAGCTTATTGTTCTGGGGTATTCACTAACCTTAACGCGCAAGAGTTTATGTGTTTGCTATAGAATTTTTCTATCGAATCACTTCAGAACCTTATCTTTATTTCTCATTAATCTAACGATTTCAAAGTAGTAAAAAGCAAATGCCAAATACTCTCTCTCGCTCTCTCTCAGATAAGTCTCGCGTCCACGGTTGCCACTTGTTAAAAAAAAAAAAAACCAACCAAATTGAAAAAAAAAACAAATTTGTTGTTTCACATATGTGTATAAATGTATTTATTAAAATTGAAATAATTCCTGAACCTTAAAATTGTGAAAAAGCTTCTGTGAAGTTAGGAATGAAATCGTTTTTAACGAAAAATTGAGTTAAGAGAAATTTCAGGAAAGCGTTTGAAAACCATTTTCGATAGTTCTCTGTACATACGTTTCCGATGATGGCCGAAAAAGGAATCGGAAAACGAATGAAACTTCAGGGTTTTATAAAAATGGTTTGCATTTTGGCTGGGATGTTGCATTGAAAATAAGAATTTTAAAAATTCATTTATTCATTTTTGACACTCAGTATGCCATAATACTTTTGTAAAGAAAAAAATTGCTAATTTCTAATTAAAAAAAAACAACCAAATCAAAGAAAAAACAACCAAATTCGAAAAATAAAATAAAAACAACCAACTATGACAACCGGGCTCGTGTCAGAACAGCAAACACCGGGCTCCAATCAGCTCCAAAGTCTTTTTTACCGAAGGTGAACCGGTGGTGATCATAGGGATCCGCAAATTTCAATTCTGCTAGGAGTATTCTCACAACACTGTCCGTTGGTATTCACGCGTAAGCCTAAGGGCCGGTTAGACATTGACTGGTTAATACTAACTACTTACAGGTTCGACATTGTTATCGGCTCACTGTTATATGTCGGCATGCAGTTAGTGTTAGCAA